TGATCAGACACACGGAGACACGGTTACCCAACATAAACATGAAATGAATCAAGTACCTGGAGAGCCTTACCTTCATGGCCCGGCGTCGGCGAGGCATCCTACCTGGTCTGGCCTGACGGAGAGGGGGGTGGGGGTTCCTCGGGGGCAGTTATCGCGGGCGCCAAACAGCTCGTCCTGCCCGTGGTGAGGTGGTGAGTGGGAGTCTTGGATGATGAGGTCACCATCACAACACCAACACTATCATCACCACCCAAGACGGAGGACTCTCCCTGCGTCACAGAACACACATTGGCACATGGCTGCAGGGCGCGGCGCAGAGGCAGCAACACATGACAACAATAACACTGTGGCTCACAGAGGCAGGCAGGTATCAGGCGGGAGGCTCCGCAGTGTGTGATCAGTCTTCTGTGGCTCTGTCTGTTGGTCGTGGCCAGTGTTATTGTTTATCATGCAACCATCAGCCGGGTGGCCACGTGTGTTGTGCAGGCGGGGTGCCGGGTCCGCCATGGCGCGGGGCGCCTCCGGGAGGAGGAGGGCGCCCCGCGACACGTCGGATCCTCTCCGCTCCTACCACGGACAAGACTAACGTGTGGCCCTGCTAACTAGCTACCCAAGCTACCTACCTAACGGGTCCTAGCACGCTACCTAGCGCCCTCCCAGGGCTCCCCTTGCCTACTGTGCGCTGCCGCATCACCTCGAACTCTTCCAAAGGCGCCCACTACCTGCCCACGACGACCCCCCTCCCCCCTTCCAGAAACCGGAGACCACTTGCCCGCGAGAAATTTGAGGAAACCCAAGGACACCTTGCCTCCACTCGCAGCTTCTTGCACGTATACTCACTCACTCTTTCTTAACTCCCTCTATCAACAAATCCAGGTCAGTCGCCCCCCCCCCATTCTCTCTCTCTCTCTCTCTCTCTCTCTCTCTCTCTCTCTCTCTCTCTCTCTCTCTCTCTCTCTCTCTCTCTCTCTCTCTCTCTCTCTCTCTCTCTCTCTCTCATATACCTGAGTGACGTCGAAAGTACAAACGGCCGAAGACACGTTGCAAAAGATAGAAGCCGATGAATAAGATGAAAATGACGCAAGAATACAAATACCAACAAAACTAAACAAACAGCAGAAAAGAGAGAGGACCAGGAAAAAAAAAAAAGAGAACCAGACAACGAGAAAAGAGGGGAGAGCAAGAAAACGAGAAAGGGAGAGAAAAAAAGGGCAGAGAACAAAAACGAGAAAGGAGCAGATCAAACAAAAAACGAAGGAGGAGAAGGCAAAGAAAGGAAGGTACAAACCGACACGAAATAACTTTGTCATCAAGGCAAGAGAACCTGCCCGAAAGGGACATGGCCGCCCGGCCGCCGTCAAGGAACGGGGGAAGGACATCAGGAGAGGTGGGAGAGAGAGGTAGGAGAAGGAAATGGGGAGAGAGGGAGAAAAACGACGAGGGAGGGGAGGGGAGGGGGAGGGGGGGGGGCGGGAGGGCAACGAGGAAGAGGAAGACGAAAGAAAAGGAGGGAGGGATGGAAGGAGAGGGAGAGAGCAAGGAGAGGGAGAGAGGAGAGAGAGAGAGAGAGGAGAGAGAGAGAGAGAGAGGAGAGAGAGAGAGAGAGAGAGAGACTGAAGAGAGAGGAGAGAGTGAGAGAGAGAGAGAGAGAGAGAGAGAGAGAGAGAGAGAGAGAGAGAGAGAGAGAGAGAGAGAGAGAGAGAGAGAGAGAGAGAGAGAGAGAGAGAGAGAGAGAGACTGTAGAAAGGGGCACAGAAGATGGGAAGAATGCACAAAATGGAAAAGAGTGAACGCAAGGACCACTTATCGAAGAAGAAGAAAAGAAAAGGAAGAGGTACGAGATTTGTAGAGTAGGTCGAAGACAAAAATAGGAAAATTACACAGGAAAAGGGCGAGGAACATAGGGAGACCACAGAAGAATAAAACGATATATGAAACTGAAAGCAAAACAAATAACTAAAAAAGAAAGAACAAAGGAAATATCCACAAAACTTACAAAAACAAAAAACCTCACACGCCTAAGACATGAACAACGCAGACAGATGTACGACGACGGCGACGACGACGACCACAACGACGACGACGAAGACGAAATAAACGAACACCTGACCCCTCCCTCTCCCCCCCTCGAGGCCCAAGAAGGCTCGTCAACCACAACCACGCCACTGTGACGACACCATCATCATCATCAGTGCTAAAGAGTTTCCAGCGGTGGCCACAACCACACTAACTCGTATGATAAAATATTACACGCCGAAAGGTCACCCACACCAGCCCTCCTACACCTAAGTTTGGAGTCCTGCTACTATTTTTTTTCCTGAAGTTAATTCTGATTTTTCTTTTTTTTCCTGATCTACTTTCACTCTTGCACGCACTCACTAGCTCGGCTCTTGCAACTCGTTCACTCATTCACCCAACTCTCTCTAGATTTGTCCACCTCTCTCTTTTTTGTGTGTTGTACTCATGTACTCAAGTATATAGATATAGAAATACGAGTATATATATATATATATTCTTGAAAATCTTGCTCAAGAGAATTACAAGGAAGTTATAAAATATACAATTCATCTACGTTTCATGCTGGAAGGAAAAGGGAGTTCTACTTACTACTGTCTATACTGTTGTCGAATTTAGGAAAGGGGTTGGGGCAGAAAGGGAGGGAGTTGTCATTTGGGGAGGGAAGGAACAGTCAACAGGGGAGGGGGGGAGGAAGCAGTCAACAAGGGAGGGAGTGAACAGTCCACAGGGGAGGCAGGGAGGGACGGACGGGGTAATCAACAGGGTAGAAATGTTGGGTGGGAGCAGTCATGGGGATAGACGGTGGGAGAGAGTATTCACCAGAGGAGGGGAAGGGAGAGGACTGACAGGAGGAGACAGAAGTAAGGGATTGTGAGGGCGCAGACAATTGGGCATGGCTGGGGATTGTAAATGACAGTCGGGACAGCCCGCATGGGAGGGAGGAACGAGGGAGATGCGTCAGTAAATAAATCAAAACGTAGGGAAAGGAGGGGGCAGGGAGTAGGGAACCAGTCAAGCAGGTAATTTAAGAAAAAAAAAGTCAGTCAGTTCGGGAGGAATGGATGGGAGGGGGAGGGGGAGGGGCAAGGGCAATCAGTCCAGTCCAGTCAGTCAAAAAATGGAGGCAAACGACAGAAATCACGAAGTCAAAAGGGCACGGTCAAAAAGAACACCAGAAAAGGTGAGAAAAAAGATAACCTTTAAAAGAGACAATTAGTATACAGATCAACATGGCTTGTACTGAGAGATCGTCTGGGATTTCAGCTTCACTACAAGGTCACGAAACTTGGAAAAACAGACTGAAAGGGGGAGGGGGAAGGAGGGGGAAGGCCAAGTACTAGAAGTATAAAAAAGAGCGTACATTAAAGTTTTGTCTATATAAAATATATATAAAGTATTTTTGGCTGAGGTGCTGATGGTGGTGGTGGAGTCTGCTATATGAGGAGCTGCGATGGTAGTTGTGGTTGTAGATATAAGGTACCGATGGTGGCGGGGCGGGGGAGGGTGGGGGTGCCGCGCCGCCCGGCGTACGCCCTACAGCGGAGGGGACGCGGGAGGCGCCGCCACCCCACCGCCCTTCCTCCGCCCCACGCGCACGCACACACGCGCGCACACACACACGCACGCAGGCACGCGCACGCACTCTCTCTCTCTGTGGCCTGTACAGCGACGGGCGTGTGGCGTGTGGCGTGTGGGCGCGAGCGAGGGCGGGCACGCCTCGTGGTTTCCTTGTAGTTGTGGTGCTGTGTAACTCTGTAGGAGCCCTCGGCCTCAGACGGAGAGTGTTGCCGTCCCAGCGGAGCCGACGACAGCAACACCCTCTGTAATCTATCACCAACGCGACCAAAACTACAACTTAAATCCAAATCACAAAAGATTATCATCATTTGGCTTGACACAGTCACATGAGCAATGAAAGAGCTGAACGGAATCTTGACAACTTTACGGATGAAAATGGCAATAGTAGTAATAACAATAATAATAATAATGGGAAGAAAATCTCGCCCTCGCCCCCAGCCACGTCACAGCCAGCCTCCAGGGAAGCCCCAAGGAAGCCTCCGCGAATATTCCTCTCTATTCCTCCTCCTCCTCCTCCTCCCCCCAACCTCCTCTCGCCGGGCTTACAGGTCACCGAACGCCGCATAAACGCACGGACTTCTCGCCTCCAGCCTCATGCCCTTCGGCAGGAGACCACCGAGGGCGGCCAGGAGGGGAGGAGGCGGGGCCGAGGAGGAACCTGGTGGAGGCTGGCTGCTCAGGTGAAGGTCCAAGGATATGGAAGGGAAGGAGGGAGTGGGGAGAAGAGGGGGTAAAAGGAGGAAAGGAGAAAGAAAGAGGGTGAGAGGATGGAAGGGGAAAGGGGGTGGGGTAAGAACGGGGAAGAGGAGAGAGAGGAGGGGTATCAAGATGAAAGGAGTGGAGAAGAAAGAGAGGGGGTAAGAAGAGAAAATGAGGGGAGAAGAGGTGGGAGGAAGACGGGAAGAAGGGAAGGGAAGGGGAACAAGTTTGTCATGGAAGAAAAGAAGAAGGGGGAAAAAGAGAAGAAGGGGAGGAGAGAGAAGGGGGAAGTTGAGAGGAGAGTCAGGAGAGGAGTACGTGAATGGGAAGATGCGGGAGACGGATACAGGATACAGGCAATTGCAAGACAGGAAAGGGCAGACAGGAATGCACAAAGAACAAAACACTGGGAGGGGGGATAGAACAGGAGGAGGGAGATGCAGGGAGGGGGGCGGTGGTGGAGGAGGAAAAAGAGATGAAATTATACAGGTACAGGATTTACTTCGACCCAGAAGTTTTGAGGAGAAGGTGAGAGAAGACTGGAGAGATTGTGGAATAGAGTGAACGGAAGGGAAAAGGGGAGACGAAAGGAAGGTGGAGGGAAGGCAAGGGAGACGAGGGAAAGGAAAGGGGGGGGGGGGGGGACTGGGAGCGACGAGAGTTGGATACCATTAAATCTAGAAAAAAATGAATTCGACACTTACCAACATTGGGGTTTGTGAAGTCCCAGCTTTCCGCGTCATTCTTGTACACATTCAGTTTCGTTGGCTGGAGAAAAGAAAACAATTAATATATGACAAATAAATATAAATACATACTATATAATCATCAAAACACAAAAACACATTTCCAAACGTCTTAATCGATCGACACAAAATAAATAAATAAAACATTAATGAAAACCTTCGAATCATTACTGACATGAAACCTACACATCATAACAAAACCGTAAAAAGACGTTCATTGATCTCAAAGTCCTGCGTGCCATCTGCCCTGCCCAACCAGTCGCTCACAAGGCAGCCAGATGGATAATACTATCCATAACCCCCTTGTCCATCCGCGAGTGTCGGTACCTCTCCCATTCCTTTCTCGGCTCCCCATCCCTCCAACCTACTCCCCTCTTCTTACTCATCCTCCGCATCACTTTCCTTTCCTTCTGCTTCCCACCCCACCATCCTACCCCAACTCCTTTCTCATCCCCCCACCACCACTTTCCCTCCCCTCCATTTCCTCAGCACCCCTCCCCCGCCCCGTCCTTCCAATTCCTCTCCATGCCAAGCCCTTGTCGCCAGTACACATTCCTGTACCCGCATCCACATCGAGACCAACACCGTCATCATTACCTGGCGACAGACGCTAAGCACGAGAACAAAACAAGCTCTCGGGAATGCCGCGAATGCCCGCATACCAAGAAAAATAATGGTAAAAACAAAATCAAAAGAGTGGGGGAAGAGAAAGGGTGAGGGGAAGGACGGGAGGAGGTGAGGGAGAGGGAGGTAAGAGAGGGAGAGGGAGAGGGGAGAGAGGAGAGGGAGGAAGGGTGGGGGAGAGAGAGATACGAGGTGGAAAAAAAACAATCCCACACCAACGTCTTTACAGGCCAATCAACGCTCGACTGCCCCCCAAAAATGCCATAAAATTTCAGAGCCGCAAACGTGACCCTCCACTAAATAAGCGAGAAATTGACCGCACACACTCTTGGGATGTAAATACGGATGAGGCAAAGTAAAAGGAGGAAGAAGAATGCGAAGAGTTGGAAGAGGGAGAAAGGATGACGACGACCAAGGGAAAGATAAACCCGAGATAGAAGGAGAGACAAGAGGAAGACGAAGCACCACTGTCATCAAAAAGTATTCGCAATAAACGACCGGCCGGGAGGAGGAGATACAAGGACGAAAGAACAGTAGAGGAAGAGCGAGAGCGAGAGAGAGAAATAGAGAGAGAGAGAGGAACTAAACTTAGGGGGAAAAATGCAACTCACAAGTGATGCTTTCACATACTGAAACGACTCTCCAGGTAACATACAGGTGTACTGTCAAGCGTCACAAGGTACAAGACTGGTGAGACTCCTGCCAACTTTCTGATTAGGTGATCGCGATGAGGAGCGAGAGGGGGGGAGGGGATGGGACGGGACGGAAGGGGATAGGGGGATGGGAAAGGACGAAAGGGGAGAAGGGAGGGAGAGAAGCGGGAGATGAGGGAGAAAGAAAGGGGGGGGGGAGAGAGAGAGAGAGAGAGGAGGAGAATGAAAGGAAGGGGAAGAGGAGGAGGAGAGGGGAAAAAAAGATTGACGAGTCTTAGGAGGGAAAGTTATGACGGACAGATATGGCGGGTTTTTGGCAGGTGAGGTAATGAAACCCGTGTCCCATCTCCCGCTGCTTCGACTTGCCCCCCCCCCCCCCATTTCCCTTCATCCCTCTGCCCCCTCCCCTCAGCCATCAAAGCCCCCACCCCCTCCCTCTCCCCGCCGACGCTCCCCTCGACTCCCCTCGGCGCCGAGTCCAACGCACGCACTCCAACTCCCCCGTCTCACTCCTAACGCGCCTCCCTCTCACCTTTATACACAAGCGCGGCAACAGGCACTCCCTGGCCTGCTTGCGATCCCCAGTGCCCTCCGCGCTTCGGATCCTATGCCTGCCTGTTTACCTACTTATCTACTCCCCTCTTCCTTTCTGCGGTGTGCTTTCCCTCCTCTCCCTCTGTCCCAAGGTTCTGCCCGAATCCTTCCCTTCCCCCTCCCCCCAATCCTCTCTTTTCTGTCCTCCTACCTTCCTCCCTTCGTCCCTCCTTTCTGTTCCGGATTTATCCCTTCCTTCCTTCCTCCTCCCCATCCATTCTCTATTCCGATTTTTTCTCTCTCCCTCCCACCTTCCTGCTATCATTCCCATTTCCTTCTGACCTGTCCCCTTATCCCTCCCTCTCTCCACTCCTGTCCTTCCTAGGTCGTCTGCTGCCCCCCCCCCCTCCCTAGCTGGTATGTGATCCCGGGCTTATTGCTGGCCCAGAAAGAGAGAGAGAGAGAGAGAGAGAGAGAGAGAGAGAGAGAGAGAGAGAGGAGAGAGAGAGAGAGAGAGAGAGAGAGAGAGAGAGACAAATCACCGGCCATTGTCATAAAATGCTTCAACCTCAACTTGATTTCACTGCGAGGAGAATGGGAAGGAGCGCCGTGGAGGGGAGAGGAATGGGAGAGAAAAGGGCGAGAGGAGAGGAGAGGAATGGGAAAGGAAAGAGAACGGGGAAGGAAGAGGAGGTGAGAGGAGAGGGAGGAAAGGGAAGAGGAAGGGAAAGGAAGGGAAGGGAAGTTAAGGAAAGGGGAGAATAGCGGGAAAAGAAAGGAAAGGGGAGAAGGGGGGAAAGAAAAGGTAAGACGAGGGGGAAAGGAAGGGAAGAAGAGAGGGAAAGAGGAGACGGGAAGAACGGGGGAGAGGGGAAGGGGTACAGAGGGCGTGTGTGGCTTTAAGTTACATGCTCGTGGGGGAAAACACTAGCGTCGGCCACCGCACATGCGCCTTACCTGGCCGCATGATCAGTCCCCGCTTGCAACGACGCTGCAACGACCCTTCCTGGCCGTAAAGACTGCTATTGACCCTGGCCGATCGCATTACAGGTCGCAGCCCAACAGAACGCATCTGGGGCGAGGTTTAGCGGTCATTAAGCTATTCCCCCCCCTCGCCAGCCTTCTTTTCTCCCCTCCCCCCCTCCTCAGTCTTCTTTCTCCCCCTCCCCCTCTCCTCCCCTCCCTCAAATCAGCAGCGAGAAGAATCATCATTACGGACAGGTAATACGAGCGAGACACGAGAGGGAGAGAGGGGAGGGAGGGAGGGGGAGGGAGGGAGGAGGAGAGGGAGGAGGGAGAGGGGGGAGAGAGAGAGAGAGAGAGAGAGAGAGAGAGAGAGAGAGAGAGAGAGAGAGAGAGAGAGAGAGAGAGAGAGAGAGAGAGAGAGAGAGAGAGAGAGAGAGAGAGGGGGGTAGACGCGGGGAGAGCAGCACGTGCTCAGTAACTTATTAAAGTGCTGGTCGTTCGGCGTTGGTGTCCGCCCTCCCGACTCCCGAGTCAGCCAGCCACCAAGCCAGCGAGTCTGTCAGTCAGTCAGCGGTCTGCTATGTTGGGCACATCATGCGGTGTATCATGTGGCCTGCGCCGTAAAGAACATGATTCATGGCACGCGGGCACGCTCATTTCGGGCATACCAGAACCAACACTGACATGCCACGCCGGACAACGTCATCACTCTCCCTCGTTCTCCCCTCTCTCCTCTCCTCTCCTCCACTCTCCCCAACCCTCTCTCCTCTTCCCCCTCTCTCCCCGCCCCTGTCTCCTTTCTCCTCTTCTCCATCCCCCCCTCCCCCCTCCCTCTCACACTTCCCCGCCCTTCTTACCTAAGCGACCCCGATGTCGTCTCTTCTCCACATACCTTCCTCGTCCTACGACTTGAGGGAGGTCAGGGCGGGAGGGGAAATAGAAAGAGGGTGGAGATGGAGACGGAGACGGTAAGGGAGGGTTGAAGGGGAAGAGGGGGACCGGTACGAAAGGAAGACGAGAAGGGGATAATCAGAGAGAGGCGAGAAAAGGGAAAGACGTAGCAGAGAAAAAAAATCCAAGCCAGACGGCGCTGAGGGAACTTTCGCAGTTCCTCCGTCCCGACGCCGTCCTCATTTACCTTTCGCTCCCTCCTTCCCTCCCGTAACGAGGTGTTGGTGGGCGGAGCGGGCGCGACGAATGAACATAACATATTCCTCCGATGGCTCCAGCTGGCCAGTTAGCGACACGCGTCAATAACGCAACACCCAACTTCTGCAAAACTTCTCCCCCGGGAAAAAACATCGTGAACCTTACTGCAGCTTTCCTTCTTTCGAAAACAACAACAAAAACAACCCCAAACACACACACACACACACACATTCACTTCCCACATTCAACGGTTTAAAACGTGCGTACAGACAGACATTTTCCCCGCACTTCTCGGCGTTTAAAACTGCATTCTCAGGGCGAAAGGAAAGCTCTTAGCATTTCGCCATTACCGTATGCTAATGTCCTAACGTTTCCCCTTCCTACTATCCCCCCTCTCACCCCCCCCCCCCAGATCAATAGCCGGGGTTGATCGTCTCATTAAGCCGAATATGTCGGCCGCCTCTCAACGCCCGTGCAACTGCAGGTACTTCGTAGTCTCTCTCCGGAATCAGCTGGATTTGCAAACTCTCTCCCTCCCCCTTTCTTCTCTCTTTCTACGTTTGCCCCCCTTCCCTCCCTTTCTCTCCCTCTCCCTCTCTCTCTCTCTCTCACACTATTGACTTAAGACAACTCCGCCTCCTCCGTCTTCTTAAGTTTTCCCGAGATTTGCAAGTCTGATGCGCTCGCAGGCGGGTGAAGTCTTGTTCTGTCGGACGAGGGGGAGGGGGGGGAGGGGATAGGGGAGAGGGGAGAGGGAGCAGCACCAGGATGACGAGGAGGAAAGAAGGCGAAATTCTCCCAATGAGGCAGCGGAGGAGGCGGGCACCTACAGTGACGCAGGAAAAAAGAAGACACAGACCGACAGTCGCGTTGGCAAAGATGGCGAAAGAGAATCAATCCTATAAAAAGTAAAGAAACACAGTAGTGTTCCCCCCTCCTCCTCCTCCTCCTCCTCCCCTCACTACCCCCCCCCCCCTTTGTGCGTGGCAAAGACACACATCACGGTTATGTATAATCGACACCTCTCTCCCCCCGTATCAATAATGCAAAGGGTTTCGTGCGAATTCTGGCTTGCGCTACGACAACCGGCAAATCGGCCGACCGACCACGACCGAATCGTAAGCGACTCGTGAAATCGGCGCGTTTACTCAGGCTGTATAGCCGGTCCAGGTCAAGGCTAGGAGGTGGTTCTCCGTGTCCATGCACATACTGTCCTTAAAAAAGTCACGCACAGATGTAACTTGTCACACGCTGGTGTTCCCCAGGTCAGTCGCATACCCCCTCGGGCTACGCATGGGCCCTCCCTCGCAGCAATCGCGTCGACTCGCCAGGCTGTCCACAAGTGATCTACATCTCATTCCCTATATCCTACGGACTGACACGATACTCGTGTTGCTCCCACGGTCCTTGGATCACAAACCTGGCGTCCCTCGTCTCCACTCTTGCACCATTCATTCCTGGGGTCATCCGCAGAGGACACCGGGGCCAACACACGTACTACGACCTTCCCACCCCACCCCACCTCTCCGAAAACGTGTCACGGCGCCTTTCGGCTTCCTTGGGTGTAGGCGCCCCACGCAGACATTCCTTTCTGAGAGAGAGAGAGAGAGAGAGAGGAGAGAGAGAGAGAGAGAGAGAGAGAGAGAGAGAGAGAGAGAGAGAGAGAGAGAGAGAGAGAGAGAGAGAGAGAGAGCCAGAGCCAGCCAGCCTTGGAGACACGTGCACCTCTCAGCTTGCCTCATCAACATGGCACTAACCACGATACTAAACCCACCGTAATTACCAGGTACATTGGCTCGCCCAGGTGAGGGGTGGGGGTAGGGGGGGAAAGTAGGAAGGGTTGGGAAGGAAAGATGGAATGAGGTGAAATGGGGGGAGGGGAATGCAAGGAGGAGAAATATGGATCCAAAGGGGCATTGAAGAACTCATCTCAGGGGGAGGGGAAGAAAGGAAGAGAAATAATAAGAAGGGAGAGGAAGAAAGGGGTGAATGAATAAGAATAGAAGGAAACGGGGGAATACCAGTATTCCCCGTTCCTTCTATTCTATTCATTCATTCATGGACGGGCAGGGGTAAAAGAGACAGAAGGCAGAATAGGCGAAAATCACACAAACAAAAATTTCAGAGAATGAAGAAGACGGGGAGAGAGGAGAATAGAAAGAAGAGAGAGAGAGAGAGAGAGAGAGAGAGAGAGAGAGAGAGAGAGAGAGAGAGAGAGAGAGGAGAGAGAGAGAGAGAGAGAGAGAGAGTTTGGTAGTGACCCAGTTAGTGTCCCTCTGCTGACGAAATAGTTTAATATCCAGATAGTGCAGTGTCAGCCAGGAAGACCCGGGCGATGTCAGGCGTGTGTCAGCGCGAGTGCCAGCCCTGGTGTTGTGCAGATTACGGCTGACATCCCCTCCTCCTCCTCCTCCTCCTCCCTCCTCCTCCTCTCCTCCTCCCCGGTGGCCACCAGTGCCGGACGGGGCCATCATAAATTCCTTGGGAGCCAGGATGAGGGCGCGCGGATGGGCGGCCGCGGCAGAAGGAAGTAGGTGGGTAGGTAGATAGTAGGTAGATAGGGAGGAGGGAGGGAGGAAAGGAGGAAGGTAAGGTAAGGAAGGAAGGAAGGAAGGTAAATGGATGGATGTGCGGATGAGCGAGCGAAACCCACGCCGCGGGCCGACCTACTTGTGACTGACGCGGGAAAGGACAGAGAAGGAAAAGGGAAGCGTTTAGGATGATTACGGTTTAAGACTCAAAAGGAAGCGTCAACGGTAAACTGCGACGGATGCATCAAAGTCGCCAGCTACGAGTCGCTATCAGGCCGGACCCCACAACACCCGACAAGTCATTCAGAAAAGGTATCAACTAGCATCGTCCTATGGCCATCCCCGACGCCCACGATCGTTAATTCCGGAAAAATTCAAGGACTTGTATTGTACATACCTGAACAGGAAGTACAACAAGGACTAATTCCTTTTTTTTCCCCCTCACTCCCTCCCATTTACCCTCATTCATTCCTTCCCTTCCATTCTCCCTCCTTACTTCCACCTTCCCTTCCATTCTCCCTCCTTCCACCTTCCACCCTCCCTTCCTTCCTCCCTCCTCCTACGCCTCCTCCATCCACCTTGCCAAGACCGCAAAGCATACACACACTGACGGCGTAGGTTATACATGCCACACCTGTATCCGATCAGAGCAAGGACGCGGGACTAAGCGAGGGGAAAGGGGGAGCGAGGGAGAAGGGGGAGGAAGGGGGAGGAAGCGAGAGCAGTGGCACGGGATAGGGAGGGGGCAGAGGAGGAAAGGGAGGAAAGGAGGAAAAGGAAACGGGGAAGAGGAGGGCGAAGAAGGGGAGGGATAAAGGAGGAAAGGGAAACGGGGAAGATGAAGGTAAAGAGAAGAGGAGGAGGAGGAGGCGAATGCGGAAGGATGTTGAGGAGGAAGGTAAAGAGAGAAGGAGAATGTAGAAGGATGTTGAGGAGGAAGGAGAAAGGAACCAAAGATGAGTCACTCAAGTAAACACACACAGTTCAAGACACAAACGTGAACACAGGATCTTTGATGTATATGAAAACAAACAGGAACAACAACCAGACTTCACGTGAAGAGGTCTTCTGGCTTCTGCAGATTAGCCAAGCATAAAGCCGCAGCGAGCGCACGCACACGCGCCCACTACTTCTCGAGAAAGGGGAGAGGGAGAGGGAGAGGGAGAGGAGAGAGGGAGAGGGAGAGGGAGAGGGAGAGGGAGAGGGAGAGGAGAGGAGAGGAGAGGAAGGAGGAGAGGAGAGAAGAGAGGGGGGTTTCTGGAGTGTGTGGGCGCCGCTTTTGAGGATACGAGAGTAGTGTGTGTGTGGCGCGATTCAGGGCAAGAGGGAGGAAGAAAAAGAGGGTTAGGGGTGAGAGCAGGGTTCAGGGCGGGGAAGGGGGGGGAGGGGGAAGGAGGAGGAAGGAGGGGTTGGGAGGAGGGGAAGGGGGGGGAAGGGCGGCGGCTGGAATCAACTTTTGTGGATGGGAAGCGAGGCGTGCAAGCCCCTAGAATTTTTTATGGCGTGGTCATCACAGCTACTTCTCCCTTCCAATTTTCCCATTCTTTCTCTCTCTCTCTCTCTCTCTCTCTCTCTCTCTCTCTCTCTCTATCTATATATATATATATATATATATATATATATATATATACCAAATCTCCTCCTCACCGTCCTGCTCTTCCTGTGGGCGGACTCAGCTAGCTGTTCCACCAAGACGAGTCGAGAACCCCAGCTCCCTAATCCCTTATTCTCACTCATCCTCCATCAACCATATTCCTCGCTTTTATTCACTCACTCACCCATCCTTATATGCATGCAAGAACACACAGACACACACATGCTCACGCACATAACTCTCTAACACACACACTTGTCACAACATACAGCCACATGATAAAAATCTGATACAATCGGGTGGGTGGAATCTGGAGGGAGGGGGGGGGGGGGTACGGCAAGTGTGGAGAGTTTGATGCAGCTCCCTGCGTGGTGGAGGGAGGGAGGGAGGGGGAGGGGGAGGAGAGGGGGTTGGCACAGTGCCAAGCATCACCACAGGGGCGGAATTAACCGACGCCCACCATCCCCTCCCGCGCGGCCGCCCTATCCTCCGGCTCCCACAGGACCCACAGCTCTTACGGAGAGACCTGCGAGTCCGAGGCTCCCTTTCCCATGGCCTCGTTCTCAGACCCGCGTCCTCTCCTACCGGGACCAGGCTCGCGAGACCACAGGTTTTTCCTCCCCCCGGGCCCAGAGAGACCATTAGACCCCCTCCCGCTCCCACCGGAAAGGCAATCCCAAACACTGGAGAACACCTCACCCCTTCCTCTCTTAACCCACCCCTCCCTCCCTCCCTCCTTCCCCCACCACACCAAACAACGCAAAGAAAGCAAGACCAGCAAAGCCTCCACTTTTACCCCCCCCCTTTGCCCCCCATGAACGAAGAACAAAGAACAAAAAGGCACTCTCTGAAGCACTCACCTTTGCGTACTCAATCCTGAGGGTGCAGCATCCGGAGTAGATGTCGGCGCCCTGGAGTCCCTCTCGCGCCCGGGTGGCAGGCTCGATCCCGTCGAACGTGGGAGCGAGTTAAGGAAATTATTCTGATGATTAGCGAGGAAATAAGACAAAAAAAGAAAGAAAAAAAAAAAATGGATGTATGTGGATGCAAAGGATCCGATAACGCGGGGAAAATACGTGCGGATGACAAAGATGGAGAAAATGTGTACCGTGAGACTGATGTGGGATTTGCGAATGTGGTTGCGAAGTCTCCGATAACGATGGGGGAAATTTGCGAGAGCAGGCTTGTGACTTTGTGAGGGTGTGTGCGTGTTGGCGTGTGTGTCCTTCGTCCATTTTTCTTTTTTTCATGGGTGGAGTAACACAATACAAGGCCAGGTATGGGTTGTAGCGGTGAGTCATGAGTCATGAATTCTCTCTTCCCTCTTCCTTCTCCCCCCCCCCCCTCTCTCTCTCTCTCTCTCTCTCTCTCTCTCTCAGTAATTAGATTCGAAAGGGCTTTCACGTCCCCAAAGGAAGGAAACCAGACGGATATGAGGACATCAAACAACCCCCCCTCTCCCCCTCCTCCCTACTCCACTCCATCCTGAACTTCGTCCACCTTGCCCATTCATAGCGTCCATCTCAATTAACAATAGTAACAACTATACAAATAAGCACTTGAGTAGGCACATAAACAGCTGTAATGGGCTCATTAGTACCTGCGCACACACACGCACACCTGCCCTTGCCTTCGTCAACCTGTCATCCTTAACATTACATCTTTTAATGAAAGGGCAAGTGGGTCATCGATTGGAAGTGAGAAGAGAGAAGAGAGAAAGGAGAAAGGAGAGATGCAGGGAAGAAGCACAGAATAGGGAGGCGGAGAGAAAACAAGTTACAAAAATTGTGAAAGATGGTGGGAAGTATAGAGGGCGAGAGAGAGGAGAGAGAGGGAGGGAGGGAGGGAGGGAGGGAGGAGAGAGGAGAGAGAAAGACAAAGATAGAGAGAGAGAGAGAGAGAGAGAGACAAAGATAGAAAGAGAGAGAGAGAGAGAAAGAGAAGGGCGGGGAACGACAACGACGACAAGGCAGCAGATGGCCCGGTTCTCAGACTTGCGAAGGACCTTATTTACCAGCAGCCAATCCCCCCTCCCCCTCCCCCTCCCCCCTCTGTCGCCGCCCGCTTGTAATCAGGACGCGGGGGATCGTTTAAATGTTATGAATTCCAGGCATACAAAACACCCTCGTTTCCAAAGCTAAAAATGCCTCGGAGGGTCAAGTGCTTCTCTCAAGGGAGCTGGAGAGGAATGGGGGGAAGGAGGATGATAAGGAAGAGGATAAAGAAGGACGGGAGGAGGTAGGAGGTAGGAGGAGGAGGAGAAGGAGGAGGAGGAGGAAGGAGGAGGAGGAGATAGAGAGCTTTGAGGGAAAGGACGGGGGAAGGAGAGACGTAGGAGAATCTGTAGAGAGAATGAAAGAGGATGAGGAGAGGAGGGGGGAGGGGAGAGAAAAAGGCGGAGGATAACAGCGAACGAAGTCTAGGGCGCAGATAAAAAGAAGAGGGGCCTGGCACGGGGCGAAGGGGCGACGCAGCAAAAGAGATTGGCATCTTGACCAAGCCCTTCCACCCGGGGCCAGATCGTATTCAACATCAATTATCTCGACATCTATGTCAAGACCACTCCCTCCCCCACCCAACCCTATCTACCGACCACCTCCCACCCCTTCCACTCCTCACACTTCATCAAGTGACATACCGCCCACTTCCACCTCCACCTGCAGACCCCCCCCCCCGATCTCGGTCCTCCTCCCCCACCTCATTCCCTTCCTTTGCCTCACTCAATTAAGCGGGTTTTCCTAACGCCCCCTACCCCCTCACACAGCATATTGCCCCGAATTCTCGTCTCTATTATAATCCTTGACCCTTTAGACATTTTTCTTTCTTTCTTTATCATCCTCCGCTTTCTTACAGGTGCTGTCCATCTTTACTTTTTTCTCATCTCATGCCTCTCCCTCTTCTCCCTCCCTCCTTCCTTCCTTCCTTCCCCCTCTCTTTCTCCTCTCTTCGGCCGGCGCCTTCCAGCTGCCCTTTCCCTTCCGTCGCGATCGCTTCCGCGCCGTCTGCCACGAATTATTAACGCCCCGACCCAGCCACGGCGATGGCATTCGTCTCGACAACACCCCTGTCTCCCCCTCCTACTACTACTCCTCTCCTCCTAATACAACTCTTGTTTCCATTTTCCCCTACAACTACTAATACTACTCTTGTTCCCCTTTCCCCCCTACTACAACTACTAATACTACTTTCCTTCTTCTCCATCCCCTTACTGCTATACTCCTACTACTGCCTTCCTTCCTTCCCCTGCTCTCCTCCCTCCTCACCCCCTCTCAACTCTTCCTTCTCTCGCCCTCCTTCCCCCATACCATAGCCCCTCCACCTCCTCCAAGTGATATGGGATGACGTGGAGAGAAAATGGCGTAGACGTGGAGGTGTAGGTGTAGGTGGGATGTGCCCCCCCCTTCCCCTCCTTCTCTCTCCTCCCTTTCACAACACAACTGTTTGCCAAAGCATTTCTTCACACTCGCCGCCAAGCACTGTCACCGCGTCGGTCCGATGCAAGCAAATCAAGGGCAGCCACGGGAGGCTTTGAGGTGTGCGTCACCTCCACCACCAGATGATGGAGGAGGAGGTGGTGGTGATGGTGGAGGAGGAGGAAGGAAGAGAGAAGAGAGGAGAAACAGCTGGAGGAGGAATGGGGATGATGAGAGAAGAGAAGAGAAGCAGCGGGAGGAGGAGGAGGAGGCGACGAAGGAGGAATCACAGGAACGGCAGACAGCAACGGCAGACGAGCGCGGTGACCGTCCTCGGCCGAGTACGAGCTTTCGACCTCTTGATTTCTCTACAAACACTAAAACTTCCTGACATGTTTACACAGCTCTTTTTCTCTCTCCCCCTCCCTCCTACCCCCTCCCTCTCCCCTCTCCCTCTTCCCTTTCTCTCTTTCCTCCAAACCGCTCAGGGTTTCTCATCCTCGCTCTCCCGACTCCTTCCTCGTTCTTCCCCCACTCTTCTTCCTTCTTTCTCCCCTTTACCTCTCTCTCTCTCTCTCTCGCCTCCTGCCCTCACGGTGCCCCCGACTCCCTTACACTCACTCATTTAATTATTTCGATATGCCTCTCCCACGTTCTACTCGCCCAAAACATTTATAGTCCTTACATACTTCACCCAAGCGCACTCACTCATTCCATCATCATCAACCTGCTCTCTGTATCAAATCTTGCACTTTCTACGCACCACTTCATTAAATTAAACATGGATACATTAGCACTAAAAGCAGCATTTACCATCACTAGCAACCACACGGCCGCAGAGATGATAAAATGTGAAAGTGAACGATGAAGAAAAGAAAAAGTTAACTTTAGGACTGTGTCAATTTTGTTTTTCTTCGTAGAAACGGACATGAAGAATGAACACTAGTGCGCAAAATAAATTGAGAGGAAAAACAAGGGCAAATGTTCAAGTAAACAAACTAATCAATGTTCAAGTGATTGCTTAAAAGGATATTCAACCATGGCCTGGACGCCATTCTTCTTGAAGATAACAATACGCAGGACATTTCCGTAGGGCTGGCAAATGGTGTGTATCACATCCTGGGGAAGAGAGAGAAAAGGAGATTAATACATGATATCATATCCGTTGTTTTGAACAATATATGAAAATATAATATATTTGTCATGTTTTCGTGTTTGTAGTTACACACTTAATGTTAGCTTAATTTATGCACAAATAATAGACGAGGAGACGTCTAAAGGAAGAAAGGAAGGAAGGAAGGGGGAGGGAGGGAGGTAGAGAGGAGAGGAGAGAGGAGGAAAAGAGAGGAGAGAGGAGAGAGGAGAGGAAAGAGACAGGAGAGGAGAGAGGAGGAAAAGACAGGAGAGGAGAGAGGAGGAAAAGACAGGAGAGGGAGAGAGGAGGAGACAAAAGACAGGAGAGGAGAGGGAGAGAGAAATAAAGAATCTCGATACATGAAACGAGCACTATTCGCCAATAGTTTGCTAATTATATAAAAGGTTAAAACGAAATTCCACAGCGCGAGAAATCAGGGGGAATTACCTGATGAAAAGGGAAAAACAGAAAAGGAAACTGATAAGACTGGCTAAATCGGACCGTCCACTGGGATCTCTACATTAGCACTAGGGATTAGGATTCCGAATCAGAGAATGGAAAGAATTACAGGATCGAATCCCCGCTCTAGGGAAAGGGGGGGGGCTACGATTGAGGCAGTAGCGCACGTGTACACTTATGATTCATTCTCTCTCTCTCTCTCTCTCTCTCTCTCTCTCTCTCTCTCTCTCTCTCTCTCCTCTCTCTCTCTCTCTCTCTCTCTCTCTCTCTACGACCTTCCTGGAACTTCCGAAGTCCGGCTCCACCATCGCCATTCCGGGACATCGATAACCTTGCGCACGTAAACGGCCTCGGCGATAACAACCCGCCGTTTCGTGGAACCGATCACCGATATTCCGAAACGCGGCATGGGGGGAAGGGGGGTGGTCCGATCACGACGCGCGAGAGGACGAGGACGACGACGACGATTCAAGCCACAGAGACCGGGCTAAGGAAGTACCCACAGCTCGGTTAAAACAGTAACCGCAGCAGCACCGACAATACCAAGAAACCAAGCTACAAAAACCGACACCAACGACAACAGCAACTACATCAGAAGCACCACCACCATCACCCCCACAACAGCAGCCGCCCTCCTCCCGTGGCTGCAGCCGCAGAGTCGCACGAAGGTGCCCGAACAGGTGAGGGCGGCCGCGATATGGCTCGGTTTCTCCCCAGGGCGAAACGCGACACCCGCCGCTGCCAAAAAGACGGCGAGCCCGTTGTAACCCTAGCGCTCTGCCTCTCCGCGCAGATATCACCACCTCGCCACTAAACACTCACATACGCCGTACGCAGGACAGGCACAAATTCGCAACTAAATTTAACTAAAAGCCATGTTTTTATAAGGCCCAAACGCTTCCGCGACGGCCACCGTCGCCGCCAGCAGGGGCTCGCATAATTCCCAGGGCAGATCAACGTTAAAGTCGCAGGGCGTGTTACGTGTCCGCCATCGTCTACGGCCGAGCCAAGAGACTATAATTCTTCTAATTTCGGTCTTCAAATTTCAACTCTTTCAGCCGCTTTTAATTACTTATATCATATACCCCGCGTGTGCTTGGAAACTACTCCCGGGCCATTTTGCCTACTTCCAAGATATTTTCGGACCATAAAAAAGAGGAATATAGCCGTTGCCTCACTCCCTCCCCTGCCCCTCCCTCCCTCCCTCCCTCCCTCAACGACGGCGCAAGCGAGCTTTTTCCCCGACGAGACGACGACTCGGTTCATCCGCGCCCCAGCCATTAACCTGCCTCGCTGATACCATCGCCTCGTTCTCCTTTGAATCTGCATCTCCATCTCGGCCGCGACTCCCTCCAGCTCGCGCTTTTGATCTGCTCTTCAATCCCCTTTGCCTACCTACCTCCCTGCCTGCCTACCTTGACTACCTGTCTTCCATCACCTCCCCCCACTCTTATTTTTTCCTTTGTCTTACCTGCCTTCATTACCTTTCCTTATTCAGTTCCCCCCCCGTTTCCTCTTCCTTTACCCCACCTTCATCTCCTTACCTCTCCTTATTCCCTCCCACCTTCGCTATTCCTTTCTGCCCTTCACTTTTTCCCTTCCTACTCTTTCTTCCCTTCTTCCCTTAGCCTTTTGTGCGATGATATAGTGAAGCTCGCCACGCAAGCTGTCCCTCCCCCCCTCGACAAGTGCATGCCCCCCCCCCCCGGCCCCCCCCGGATAACACCTGTACAACAGTTACGTCAGTAGAATGTATGAGTGGGTGTCTAAACGACTATGGAGAACCGACGCGCTATAAGAGAAAACAGTGGATACAGAAAATAGCAATTCACTCCATGGTTACTGGGTAAATGAAAAAATGCATTATATATATTATATATTATATATTATATATATTATATATATATATATATATATATATATATATTATATATAAATTATATCACGTATATTTTAAATAATTATATACATTTACAAGGTAATGGAATAATTTTCTTTAAACTGCGGTACAACTCGAAGCTCTCCCTCACCCCTACCTTCATGAGTCCTCAGGAGGAATAAAAGAGGAATATACCCACTCGGAACTTCCCTTCCGATCCTCCGCTAACCTCCCCCCCCCCCTCCAGATCACGAGAAACCAATCCGATTCGCGCACTTGTGTCATTCGCCGAAGCCTCTTCCCAACCCGAGTGTTCGCTTGTAACCTACCTCCCCCCCCCCACGCATTTCCTAAGTTTATCTTTTGCTACTCCCTTAGCCCTTCCCTGACATGACGACCTGTCCCCTAGCCCCCCACCCCTTCTCCCTCATGGTAAGCCCATCCCTTACACCCCCTCCAACTCATGCGTCGGAGCGTACCCATCCCTTAGGCCCCCCCAACCCCCATACGCGACGACCCTTTACCTAAGCCTCCCTTCTGCTGCAACGACCCCCTCCCTCCCTCCCCTCCCCTCTGAGCCAATGCCCTAGCAACACGAGGGGGACGTATTTCAGCGTTCTACCGGGAGATCAGGGTTTACCTCTCGTTCTTCTGGGATTTACCCTCTCTCGCTTGTTCTCCTCCCTTCCCCTCTCTCCTCCTCTCGTTCTCGGCCGTTTTCTTCTCTTTCCTTTTGTCTTTCCGTGTCTCCTATGTTACATATCTGTCTTGCTCCGGGTGCCAGCGTTAACCAACCCGGCAACGTGGACAGCGGAGTGAGTGCCAGCCGTGACCATCAGGGGGGAAGGGAGAGGGAGAGGGAGAAGAGGGAGGGGGAGGGAGGGAGGGAGGGAGGAGGGAGGGAGAAGAGAGGGAGGGAGAAGAGGGAGGAGAGAGGGGAGGGAGAGAAGAAGAGGGAAAGGGGGAAAGGGAGGGAGAGGAAAGGGAGGAGAGGGAGAAAAGAGAGAGAAAGAAACGAGGTCACACTGCAAGCGAATGGCGAGGGCACGGAGGACGAAGGCTTAGCATGACGAACGATCAAAACGTCGAAAATAGATACTGATGTGAGCCCACCTCCCCTCCCCCGTGAGCGTAGCGCCGCCGCATGTGATCGGCGTGGCGGCCCGTCAAAACGCCGACCCCCCTCCCCTCCTCCCTACCTCCTCCGAACGGGCGCCCCGGCACGTGGCGACGGAGGTGCTCTCGCTCCCACATGCTTCGCCGCAATCCATCACCGCTGCTGACCGCCTCGCCGCCGCCGCCGCTCGCGAGTGCGGCAAGTGAGCGCACCGGCCAGGAATGCGCATGACGGCCGCAGACGCAGAGCCCTGAATTAGTGTGACAACTGCAAACGTGATACGACTCCAATGCAGGGTGCCACAGCGCGCGGAGGGAGAGGGGGGAGAAGAAAGGGAGAGAGGAATGGAGGGGGGGAGGAGGGGACGAAGGCATGGGGATGAACCGGGGCTGGGCACCCGGAGTGACCGCTCTGCTTAGAGGGCACGGACAAAGAGAGCGAGCGCGCGCGCGGCCCGAACGCCGACGCTGCCCGCTCTAGTGCCAAGAATGTCTCACTTATTTCACCCTACTGACATCTCGGCAAACACCTGCAATCACGCCTTTTCCCCTCGCCCGCCTGACCTCGCCTACCAGACCCCGGGGTCCCTGCCCCTCCCCGTCCTCTCTCGACGCCCCGGTGTGCACACGCGGACAGAGACAAAGCGCACACGAAAAACCCGGAGAAAAGGAGGAAAGAGGAGACGAACCCGCGGAGGCGGTTATAAAACTCCGGGTGCCAGGCGGCCAACGACAGACTCGGAAACCGGACGCCACAAAATCGAAACCGAAAGACGCACTTTTTTTTCTCCCCCTCTGCGTTCATCACCAGGCCGGATACGAGGGCTAAATCTGGGGGACGTCTCGGCTTCAAACGGACACGCGCTCCAATCTTGCGGTCTTTGAAAGTTAAGGGAAGGAGGGGGGGGGGGAGGTTGGCGTAAGGAGGACGAGGAAGGAGATGCTCTACGACGGCGATGGCGAGGGAGGGAGGGAGGGAGAGGAAGGAGAGGCAGAGGGGGAGGGGGGGACTTACGAAAAAACTGAAAACCCCCTGGGAATGTTTCTCTCTAAAACGGAAACAACGCTCGCCCACGACGTCTTCTCGGACGAAATCTGCATGTAACAGACAAAGACAAACACGAAGACAGACAGACGTCGACAAGTACGCCGGTGCGGGCAAGACATCGAGTGACAGCTTCCACATCACAATTACTGGAGTGCCAAGCACCGACATACGCCCATCCATCCGCCCGAACTCCGCCCACTGTGTCAGTGTCACATGGCGGGCGGGGAAGGAGCGGGGAAAATGAGAGGGGGAACAGGACAGGAAAGGGGATAAGAGATAACAAGGGGAGGAGAGAGAGAGAGGTGAGGGCAACGAAGAGGGTATGAAATGGGGGAAACAGACGATGATAAGAGGCAGGGAAAAGTAGGTAGGGGAGTCGAGGGGAGAGCAGAGCAGAGCAGACAGGGGAAGGGAAGAGAAAGATTAGAGGGAAAGGGAAGCGACGAGATACGAGATCGCCGAAACACACCAGGTAAATTTGGTTAGGGGAGACTAGTGCGGAAAGGTAAATGAGAACAAAAGGCTCCTAAAGCAGGGGATATTACACAGGAATAGAGAGAGAGAGAGAGAGAGAGAGAGAGAGAGAGAGAGAGAGAGAGAAGAGAGAGAGAGAGAGAGAGAGAGAGAGAGAGAGAGAGAGAGAGAGAGAGGGGGGGGGGGGTAGGGGAGGTAGGTAGGTAGGGCAGCAGCGCTACGAAGACGACACAGTGAACAGTCGTCGTCGTCGTACCTGGCAAGCACCTGTCGTTTAGTCACTGTCAAAGGTGGTTAACCAAGTTGGCAAGCAAGGGAGACATCTGGTCACCATACGACCAGCGAGAGGGTGGGGGCAGTGGGTGACGAAGGGGTGGGGGGTGGAAAGAGAACAGTGGGAGCGATTTGAGAGGATGGAAAGCGAGTGGAAAGGAAATGACGGATGGTGGGAGACAAAGGGGGGAGGGGTGGTGAGGGTAAAGGAGAAGGGAGGGCGAGCAGAGGGTAAAGGAGGGAAGAGAGGCGAGCAGAGGGTAAAGGAGGGAAGAGGGCGAGCAAGGGTAAAGGAGGGAAGAGAGGCGAGCAGAGGTAAAGGAGGGAAGAGAGGCGAGCAGAAGGTAAAGGAGGGAAGAGAGGCGAGCAGAAGGGAAAAGGAGAGAGAAGGGAAAAAATCCCCTTCCCTTACAAATATGACGCTCAGAAAAAAAGCTGATGAAACCCAACAAGCCAATCAACAGGGACGCGCTAATAAACCGGGGACACAATACCTTTACAGAACACACCGGTCTAACCACTTGAAAATAATAACCGTCATGACAACAAGAACGGTCCAACACTTTTTTTTCCAACGAGCTAACTCAAATCGGAAGCCCAATCACCCATCAATCTGTCGACACTAATGACCAATCTCCTTCGGTGCAATTTGTCGACCATGTTTACAACCACGATCAAAATTACAATCAGCACCCAATCGCAGCTCAGGCCAACCTTTTCCCAACAATCCCTATACCCTCCCAAGCACAACCACAACCACACTTACATGCACACGCACACACATGTAATACACACAGAGATACACAGACATCCACAGACATCCACACACACAGATACAGACAGAGAGACACACACACACACACACTGATATCACAAAAGCATACCACACACCACCCACCGTACTAACACACCAACACCAAGAGGAAGGGGAAAAAAGCCCTCATACTCACCACTGTGATGGGGTAAGCTGGATTTAAGATGGTCATAAGTAAGACATGGTTAGGCGTCTCTGGCTCTCCTTTCCTGCAAAGAAATAAAAATACAGACCATTAATCGAGATGAATAATTGCACACCAATTAGGAACCCAAAAGAAAACCCAAGAAAATACAAGTAAATGGGAAATAAATATTTTTTTTATATCTAAAGGAATCAACAATGATAAATGTCAATGGTATCAATAAAAAAAACAATAATAAAAAAGAGAACAATAGCCAGAATAACGAAAACAATAGCATGAATACAAAAAAAAATCAGTAAAAAAAATACATCGCCATCAACAAATGGCGACCAACAACCACGTTCGAATCCCTTGCAACGACCACGACTTCGACACGAGACCTGGAGAGACGCGGCGAGACGGACGTGCCCGCGAAGGAGGATCTTGAGGGCCACTTTTATTACCCCGGGATGTGCGACGCTGAGGGTGGCGGCGGCACTGATAACGCTGATAGGAGGACAGGGCGGAGGCGGGAGGTGCGAGGGGCGCTTTCTGCAGGTGGAGAAGGAAGGGAGGACGGGAGGGAGAGGGAAAAGGGGGAGAGCGAAGGAGGGAGAGAAGACGACGGCGGAGGGCGAAGACGAGGGCGACTCCGTGGGCGGGACAGGAGGGCGGCGCCCATCCTCCTCCTACTCCTTCCCAGGTGAGCTCCAGTGACCGCCAAGGTCACCGAGTCGCCGAAGGAGGAGCGAACCAGGGAGGGTTATTCATCGATCGTGCCTGAGCCGTGTCCGGGGCCTACACACGCCCATCTTCTCTCGCACCTCCCACGCCCCAACTCCCCCATCCCTCCTCTCCCCTACCCCGTCCTTACCCTCAGCCCACTGACACCTCCCACACCACCAGCCCCTCCACGCACCCCCCCACACCGCCCCACCTTCGCACCACCACACCGCATCACCACGCCCACGATGCTGCTGATGCTGCTGCCGCCGCCCTCGGGAGAGCCGCCGCCCCGCCGACGGTTCTCGCTGCCATCTTCCCTCGGCGAGAACGGAAAGGTTAAAGAAACACTGCCGGTAGAACGAACCATCACCTTCGCCAGAGCTAAGAACCGGACACGAACCGCGAGAGAACCCTGGGAAGCAAAAGCAATCCTCGGCAATACCAAACGAGTACCAAAAACAACAACAACAACAACAACAACAACAACAGCAGCCACCTGACGCAGCTACATAACCCCCGCGAGAACCACCACCTACGAATACCGAAGGAAGACGCGACGAACCGATCGAACGACGGAAAACCAGCAGAGCCCAACGACGAGACCCGCGCCAATAGAACCTAATGCTTCCCCCTCCTCCTTCCCTCCCCTCCCCTCCACGCGCGGCAGCAGAACCACGGCCCAAGAACCAAACAAACGCGAAGAGGCCGCCGAGCCCGCGAAGAGCAATAAAACCAGCGAACCAACTGCCGAACCCTAGCAACTTGGGCCACCCACGGCTCCTGATTCATGGCGGGGGGTAAGGGTTAGGGCGAAGGGGAGGGGCAGAGTGGGGGGAGGGGGCTGTAATGGGGTGACGGTGCTGGTGGTGGAGGAGGAGGAGGTGGGGGTGACGGAGACGGGGGGAGGGGGGGGAGGAAGGAAGGGAAGGAAGGGGAGCGAAGAAGGGGGAAGGGGGAAACGAAGGACGCAGGGGAATAGGGGGAAGCGAAGGAGGAGGGGGGAAAGGGAGAAAACCGGAGGAGAAAGGAGGAGGAGAGAGAACCGGAGAAAGGAGGGGGAGGGGGAAACGGAGGAAGGAGAAGCAGGAGCAGCAGCGGCAGCAGAACGAGACAGTATCGAGACCATAAATCAGGTGGGAGTTCATTAAGCAGCCCCGACTCGTGCGTCCATGTTAATTGGCGCGGGGCCGTAGGAGCGGGCGAGTCGCCGTTAATATCTGCTCCTGCAACAGTCGCAACCACCGCCCTTGATAATCCGAACCAGCTGTCGACGACGCCGCTCCAGCTGCACATCGTCGGCTCGTTCCAGTAACGTGCCACTATTATTGCCTCTCCCGCTGCTGCAGCTGCCCCCCCCCCCCTGGCCTCGCCCCGCTCCTTATCCCAGGGGGATTAGCACACACTGCTTCCCTCCGCTTGCCCTCGCACTTCCTTGCCCCCCCCCCCCCATTCCACGGCACTAGCACACACACACAACGGCCAGTGCAAACACGTATATAAATATATGAATACACAGATTTACGAATACGCACACGCCTAAACAACGCGCACAGGCGAGGGGAGCGAATGGCAACACCAACAAGCGGGCGGGTGAAGTGACACAAAAGTCCACGCAAAGACACGCCGGCCAATGTTTGTCCTTAATTATGCAAATCTTAAAAAGCGGCCATCAATCCGGCTTTATGCCCCATCCCCTGCTCGCTTGGCTTGTTATCGCGCCTCTCGCCCTCCCTCCCGCCGAAGACTTGGAGAGTGGGGGGAGGGGAAGGGAGAGGGAGAGGGAGAGATGGGGGGGAGGGAGAGGGGAGGAGAGAGACGAGAGAGAGAGAGAGAGAGAGAGAGAGAGAGAGAGAGAGAGAGAGAGAGAGAGAGAGAGAGAGAGAGAGAGAGAGAGAGAGAGAGAGAGAGAGAGAGATGACGAGAGAGACAGAGAGAGAGAGAGAGAGAGAGAGAGAGAGAGAGAGGAGAGAGAGAGAGAGAGAGAGAGAGAATAATAAAAAATAAATAAATAAAAAAGCACGCCAAGAGACCTGCCTCCCCCCTCTACCCGGTTCCCCTCCCTGGCCAGAATCCTCCTGTTATCCTTCGTATTATCTGATGGGATCCACATCTGTCCCTTCCCAGCCCCCCCGCCACCCGGACTTCCATTCCCCCGTGTCCTCTGTTCCCCTCATTCTCTCCCCTTCTTGACGTCTTACCCCTCGCCAATGCAGCCACCTCCATGTTTTCGGTGCATCACTTTCCCTTTCTTTTTTTTTTTTTTTTACGAATTCCGACTTACTTTCTGGTGACCGCTTACAGAGTAGAAAGAATGTGAGTGTTTCTTCTGTTCTTATCCAATAATATGACCGAGTTCTAGTTTAAAAAATCTGAAGTACGGTATGTTTCCTCCCCCTGATATAAATGTATTTACAGAATCCTGGGCATTTAGCTTTTTCTCCCCTCGTTTTAATAATTTTCAAAACCATTCTGCAAATCTGGGAAGCATCCTCCGTGACCAGAGTAAAAAAAAAAAAAAGAAAAAGAAAATGGCACCGCATTATTCCAACTTCTCTATTCTCTTTGACCTTTTTTCCCGTTCGTATCTCGCTACCCGTCCTTCGCCCTCCCTCCATTCTCCTTTTTCGCTTATGCCCGCCCTCCGCAAATCTCTTTCCTACATGCCCTCGCGTACAGGTGCCACAAGGAATTGCGAGGAGTCTCTATACCTCCAGAACAACTTCCCGTCAAGATGTAGCACCGTGGCAGGAGTAACAGAAACATCCATTAATAGAGAGGCGTTCGTACTGTGACGAAAGACGTGAGCGATGTGTGCGGAACCAGACGTCATAATGGCTGGCAATAATATTAAGGGGGGTGGGGGGCGGGTGAGTAAGTCACAGGGTAAGGGGAGGGGTGGGGTCGTTTTGGAAGCAACTGTACATCTTCAATAAACTCGATGCTATATTCTTGAGGTAACTCTATCGCCCCCTTCTCTGCAACCCTGGCATTTTTCACCATTCTCATTCCTCTTCTACAGTCACTACCACCTTCACCTTGCCTGTAAATTCATCTTTTCCCGTTTTCCCCAATCAACATCTTCGCTCCTCATTCACAGCGTTTCTTCTACCTTCCTTTCCCCGTGCATTTCAGTTCCCCATTACCCCCCCCCCCTTCCCCTGCCTCGCGTGGCTACCCCTCCTACCCTGCCTTCTCAGAATGACGCGTTCCTGTGTCGGCTAATCTAAAATACTTGTCGACCAAACGAACTGTGAATCTAAACTTCAGATCGACTTTCTCCTCCCCCCCCCACACACATTCCCCCCCCCTTCGCCTTTTATTCCTTTCCCTCCCTCATACTCCCTTTCCTCCCCCCCCCCATTCGCCGTGGAGAATAAAAGGAGGCCTGTTAAAAAAAAAAAAAAAAAAAAAAAAAAAAAAAAAATCCATCGAACTCCATAACGTTCTGTCATTTCTTCGTGACGCGCGACGCCTTCCCAGATAGCAGTGGCGAACCGAAGGGAATGTATCACAACATACACTGGAGGAGGCTTGGAGGAGTGAGGGCGAAGACAAGAAGGAAAAGGGTTAAAGACCAATACTGTGGAAATTAAGCCGAAGACCAAGGGGTGAAAACTGAAGGGGGGGAAGGGGGGGGGACTAAGGAGGGGAAATCGGGGCAAAGCCAGGCCGAAGACAAGACCGACGCAAAGGGCAGCAGGACAAGGTGAGGCTGTGTAGGTATGCAAGCGCACGTTTCCCAACCACTTACGTACACACACTGCAGCCGAGCCTACGAGCGTGACATCAAAGGTGCCGCAGCTCGCTCTCGCCCCCCCCCAACCCCCTGCGTTTCGCTTCCCCCTGACAGGACGGTCACTAGCACGGCCATGAGAAACGGGCCAGGAGAGATCGCCGCCCAAGAGAGGAGACAGAGAAACGCCCATGAGAGACGGAAAAGGACGACAGACTAGGGAAGAGAAAGACGCGATATGAGAAAAGGGAGAGGTGAAGGAAGAGAGAAAAGCCCACGAGCAGGGAGAGCCCCGCACGCGCCGGGCCTAAGGGGTCTACCGTACGGCCATCTGCCAACCAGCTGATTAATGGCGACGATGGGTAAATACAGCAAAAATATTCCGAAACCCAGCAACTCCTCCATGTCTGACAGTTTATTTACACGAGTATTTAGCGTCTCGCAATATTTACATCGCCGCCGCGGGGCCCATTAGGAGGCCGGCAAAGAACCTCCCCCTACCCCCCAAACCTTGAACCCCGCCCCCCTTTAAAAAACACCCCTCGCCACCTCCCCCTCCCTCGATCGCGGCGTGGCATGCGCCCAAGCCCGACTCCTCTTAAAATGTGTGGTGAATGTGCGGCATGTCGGCCATAAAACAATCAAGTGTCGCCTCTTGCACACAGCCGGCCTCGAAAACGGAGTGCGAGAAGCCTTATCAAGGTGCAAGGCGAGGGGGAGGGGGAAAGGGGGGTTGGAGGAGGAGGACGAGGACGACGAAGAAGACGCGAGGGGGGAGGGGGAGAGTAACTGAAAGAGGAGACGGACAGGAAGCAACAATCCTGCACCCAAATTATAAGGACACAAAGGAAGTCAAGAGGAAGTATGAGGAAATAAAGGCAGGAGAGAGGGGGAGGACAAGGAGGACGAGGAGCAGCAGCTGCGGCGAGCCCGATCCCGGCGCGACGCGGCTGAGACAACGTCCCTTTAACCCATCCTCGCTCACCGCCGTAACACCGGGTGACACTTTACGGCCGCGTCCCGAAACAACCATTCGGTCAGACGCGCAAATGATTACAACAAGACGCCGCGAGTCGCCCGCTCGGAAGGGGAGAGACGGGAGGGAAGCGAGGGGAGAGGGGAGACAGGAGGAAAGCGAGGGGAGAGGGGAGACGTCGGGAGAGGAAGGATGGGACCGGAGGTGTGAGGGGAGGAGAGCGGCGGAAAAAAGAGGGGAAGGGCGAACGGACACGAGCGGAATGGAAGAGAGAGCGAAATGAGGAGACACGGGAGGGGAGAAGAGGAAAGGCGAGAACGTAGGGAAGAGAAGATCCCGTCAGACAAGTCGAGCTTCCTCCCTGAGGCCCCGCAACGCGACCTCACCGAGGACGACCCCCGCCCCACCACCTCCTCCATCCCATCAGCCGCGACGGTCATGTAGTGGTAATAGAGCCAGCGTCCAGTGCGCCGTCCCGTCTCCTGCAGGCGCCCATTGTTACGTGACGACATGCCTCACATACCGACCTCCGGTTCTCCTCCTCCTCGTGTCCGTCCCTTCCTCCCCTCCTCCCGACATCCACTGCCACAATGAACAAAATCCTCTGCGGGCTTTTCATTCTTCCCGGCAATAATAATAACGACGGTAATGAATGAATGTGGATGACGACCCGAGCGCACGGCAAGTGGCGCGCGGTGAAGCCCGCTCAACGCTTTCAAGTCTTACGAGGCCCCTTCTGCCGGAATGCCAGCCCGCCCCTCGCCGACACTTTCAGTCGATGGCCCTTTTCTCCCCTTCCCTTGAGCGAAGAATGCCCCTGCGTCGCCTCGCAACCTGTACCAATATGCAACAGACTTACACGCTTTGAAAAAAAAAAAAAGTCAAAAGAGCTAACCGTACTTGACAGATGGCTTGACCCAAAGCTATTAGGCCCCAACTTGGGCCACCGGCCTGACAAGTGGCATCACGACCTAATCCCGTTGTCGTGTGGTCGTCGACCATCGCTCATCGACAATAAGAGAAATGACCGCCAGCCTGCGTTAATGTTCCTCCTAATGGAAATTGGTTTGTTACCGGATCCGACTCACTCTCGCAACACTCCTCCCCGACTTCAGGCACAAAAGCGTGGACTCGGGATAATCGACCCCGAAAATCTGACTCAACCCCCCTCCTCCCCTTCCGTTTTCCTACCTTCAACCCTGCAAACCCTCCCCCCGCCCCATCTCCCTCCTCCTCCCATCTTCCTATGTTACCAGCTCCAGGGCATCTAGCCAGCCAGACCCCCTATTTGGAGGACATCCATCAGACGAAGGAACGCGCTAATCGGGAGGCCAGCCGAGCGGGCGCGCGTGCAAGCGAGCCAGGAACGTGCCCGTCCCGCAATCTATCTCCGATTCAGAGTATCTATAAAAATTCCTTACCGCAGGCGAGTCGACACGCCATTTGCAGGACGCCCTGTGGGAAAGGGACCTATGTCGATGCGGCGAGAAAGCAAGGCACGGGGGACACAGGGGGACTTCCGTGACTATCTAGCGCGCGCACACGCCCCCGCACACGACACACACTAAGTAAAGGAATCTTACCATCCCTAACCCTTCCCTTCTCCCACTGCCACTTGTACTCTCTACCCCCCCCCCCCACCTCTCTCTAACCTCTATCCTTCCCTCAGCGCACCCTTCTTTCTCCCATTCCATGTCACCCCCTTATCCCTCCTTCCTTCCTCCTACTCCTAATCTTTTCCGCAGTGCAGCTCCGACGCGTGTTCTTTTGGCCGCCGCCAACTGAACGCTCAGTGGGACGCGTCACGAAATTACCTGCTTTATCACCGCAAATAAAAAAAGGCGCACACAGCCATACACAAACACTTGCACGCACACGCATACGCCAAGCATGGTCTATCTCTACGACGTGAAAAAGAATAAACAGGGGAAGAGGAAGAGGACAAAGAAGAGCAGCGGGAGGAAAAATATAGAAATTGGGAGCGATGGTAGATGATTGAATTGGAGAAACATAAAATGGAAAGGGAAGAGGTTGGAAGCAGATATAGGAAATAGGGAATGGAAGGAAGGAGAGAGAAAGGAAAAGGGTGGAGAGGGTAGACGAGGGACGAGAGGGAAGAAATACACACACACGGAGGAGGGGAGTGGACGACGAGAGAAAAAAAACAGTTATACAGATAAGGCCAAGCGAGATAAGATGAATCGCGAGAGAGACCGAAAGGAATGCGCCCTACTCTCTCACTCTAAGCCTCTAGGGTACTGGAGGGGGCAGGAGGGGGTGGGTGCCATTCCGTGCCGCAAAGTGCCATAACGTGTGCATGACCAATAAACAGCGTCACGTCATATCGTCTGCAGGCGCTTGCATGCACTTGAACCGCATGACACTGCGCCTATTCTTCACGCTGCCGTCACGGGGGCTGCTCTCCCTCCGTGTGCAAGTGTACATAACTGGATGTTTATTTGTACATCTATCCATACGTGGACGCTACCGTTGCGTGCATACACTGTACCATTAAGGAAAAATACAGATTAATACCTGTACAAGATACACCTTACCTTTGAAAATTAATACGCCCGATTGTATACCTATATTTATCCGCACTCGGGTACCTATAAGCTCTTATGTAACCGTGTACATGTAAATGTACTCGTGCACGACTAAGTACCCAGCTTGTGCACGTGTACCTCACTTTATGCGAGTTTGCACCTGTGCCCGATATGGTCCGAGCCGCCCCGAGCCACCACGGGCGCGGGCCTCACCTGATCTTGGGCGGACGCGGGTGGCCGTCGGTGTCCCAGCCAGGGGACGCGGCGTCGGCGACGGAGGCCGCGCCGGCGAAGTCGTCCTCGCTGTGGCACTCGGACGCCTCCGAGCCGTCCTCCGTATGCCGCCTCTTGAAGGGCATCTCCTCCTCGTGGTCGTAGCGCCGCGACCGAGCCACGGCTGGCGACCGAGAAGCCCCGTCCTCGCTCGCTCCCGCACGACGACCGCCTGCGCCCGAAAGCGTCGCCAACCCCGCCCGCGAATCGAAAGGCACCGGACGCCCCGCGACGCAACCCGCTCTCCTCGGGAAACAACAAACACCTGACTTGGGCCAAGACGCGCCGGGACACGAGACGCGGGGCGAGCTAGCCAAACGCCAGGACCTCCAGGGACGCTCCTGCTGCGGGCCGGAGTGGACGAAGGAGAGCAAGAGGCAACGCTCGCTGCGGCAGCGGACGGACAAGTGTTTTGGAAGCGGCGTCCCGTCGCCGAACGGGTTTCGAATGTTCGTCACATCTGTCTGTGTGTGTGTGTACATCCCTACTGTGTGAGGTGTAGTGTGTGTGTGTGTGTGTGTGTGTGTGTGTGTGTGTGTGTGTGTGTGTGTGTGTGTGTGTGTGTGTGTGTGTGTGTGGGGTGCGTGCACGCATGAGTATGCATGTGTGTGTGTGTGTGTGTGTGTGTGTGTGTGTGTGTGTGTGTGTGTGTGTGTGTGTGTGTGTGTGTGTGTGTGTGTGTGTGTGTGTGTGTGTGTGTGTGTGTGCGTGCGTGCGCATGTGCACATGTGTAAGCGTGTGCATGTTTATGCATTTACATATGTGTATGTACGTGTGTATGCATGTGTGAATGTCAATATGTATGCGTGCATGTACGTATGAATGTACATATTCATGTATAGATATATGTATTCATGTGTGGCTAAATGTATTCATTTATGTATCTAGTGTATGTATGTATTAATGTATAATAGACTTTTTTAATCGGAAAAGACTGAGACAAACGTTTTCACCCCCAAAAGGATGAACAAACCCAAGTCACTTGACTCCCCAGAGTATGAGTATGAGTGCGTGTATGAGCGAGTATAGAAACAAGGTCCCAAGAGTGCAAGTGGCTGAGTATGATTGTGATAACGTGTCTGTTATATTCCTCCTTTTTTACCCCACCCACCCCACCCTTGAGCCCTCCCTCCGCCAAGAAAGGGAGAGAAGGGAGGGAAGGGGGGGGGGAGAGCAGAGAGGGAGAACGCACGGAACACCTGCGCTCTACACAAAGCGCCGGCCATGTTATACTGTATGAAAAAAAAGAAAAAAAACACGGCCACCCTATACCTAATATGACCGCTCGAGTGTGTGCATACATTCGTGCGTTCGTTTTGCAGCACCTGTCAAGCTATCACAATGTCAAAGCGAGGGATAGCCTCTTAGTAGTAAGGTAGTGTGATCCGAAAGAGATGAGAGTGCACACGTGAATCGGCAATTCCTAGTCTACTCATTCATGTCCTATCTGGCTGCTTCTCTGCCTTCCTGCTGTAACTGGCCGCTCGTCTAGAGGGTGCCTTCCTGTCTGTAAGATGCCTACTAGCCTGCCTGAATACCCAACCCAACTAAATGCTCATCCACCTGCCTGAAGGGTGTCTGCCTGTGTCTGTCTACCTGCCCATAAGGCGCCTGCTTGTCTGTCCATTGGGTTTCTACCTAAATGCCTAAATGTGAGGATAGAGGAGAGGAGAGGAGAGGAGAGGAGAGGAGAGGAGAGGAGAGGAGAGGAGAGGAGAGGAGAGGAGAGGAGAGGAGAGGAGAGGAGAGGAGAGGAGAGGAGAGAGAGAGAGGAGAGGAGAGGAGAGGAGAGAGAGAGAGAGAGAGAGAGAGAGAGAGAGAGAGAGAGAGAGAGAGAGTGTGTATGTGTGTGTGTGTGTGTGTGTGTGTGTGTGTGTGTGTGTGTGTGTGTGTGTGTGTGTGTGTGTGTGTGTGTGTCATACGACTACCCAACAAGCTCCACTTTCCATCGCAATGTCGCAGAGAACCGTCCCCTCTGCACAACCTGGTTAGAATAACAAAACCGTCGCTGCCATGTCACGACAGAACACGTGACTCACCGAACAAAGTGTACAAGTCGAGAGAGCGCTCGTGACCGCCATGACAATGTCACACTCACTCCCCCTTGTCTGTACCGTCTCTTACTCACCCCTCGTACCGTCTCTCACCTCACCCATGTACCGTATTCTCCCGCCTTAAACCATGGGGGACAAGGGCTTACCTGAAAAGATGAAAAAAAATGACGGTTAGCACGACATAAACAGTAAAAGAGACGTAATGTACACGCCTTATACAACACAATGAACAGTCACCTATCAAGACATAATTCATAGAAAGAATAACGGAAACAACAGGACCCAGCGGGAACATGTGATGTGGACGAAGACACTTGCGTTCATAAATAATAAAAATTACATATGGACGTAAACTGAACACAAGTGGCTCCGAGAGAGAAATGTACGTGGGGGAGTCGGGAAAAGGGGGGGGAGTTAGGGAATGGACAGATAGGGGGAGTACGATAAGGAGAATGAAAGGGAGGGAGAGGGAGAGGGAGCGGGAGAGTGCGAGACAATATGTATGCATGTGTATATACACACAATTGATTGTGTATATGTATGTGTATATATATGTGTATGTATATATATATATATATATATATATATATATATATATATATATATATATATATGTATGGTGTGTGTGTGTGTTGTGTGTGTGTGTGTGTGTGTGTGTGTGTGTGTGTGAGTATGTTGAGAGAGAGAGAGAGAGAGAGAGAGAGA